CTTATTTGGTGAGCATGAGGATTGTCCATGCCACATTGATTGACTATGTCTTAGTTTAGATTTGAGATGTAATAATGTATCAGGATTATGTCCGGGCTACGTGTTGTAGTTCCATGATTTTAGATACTTACAGTTATTTATATATTGAGGTATTTCAGTTAGCTGTCTATTTGCAATTTACATACAGACAATGTGTTTTTGAATTGAATTAAGTAATTCAACTTGGCTAAGTATAATGACGTCATAATTGAAAGTAAAAAGTTATTCCGCAATTTTAATTAAGCGTGGCTTAATACGATGGCATGTTAACAAACCGGGTATACACGGGGTGTTACATTTTGTATGTCTTCTTCTGTAAAAAATAACTTGGGGAGGTCATGCTTTCCAACTCTTCCTTTGAAGGTGGGTCTATCTCTGACCGACATGACCTGCTTTAGATATCTTCTTTTAGCACTCGCAGTGTCACCTCCTCCTTCCAAGGCTCCACTTATCACATTGCATTCGAACTCAGCCTTGTGGTACTCTTCATCTTTATCTTCGACCTTTATCCCTTTATTAGGGTGATCTTGACCTCGGTCTTTCCTGTCATCCTTTTTTGGGCTAGGGCTCCTGCTCCGACTTCTCTGTCTTTGCTTGCCATTTTTCTTGCCCTGAGTTCAGATGAGGTATTGTTTGAGCTTTTCTTCTCTGATATGCTTTTCATTAGTATCTCGGAGATCCCAACAATCATCTGTTGTGTAGCCATTCTGATCATGAAAGGCGCAGTATTCGGTTCTATCTAAGCCGCCCCTGTTTTTAATGGGCCGAGGTCTTTTGACATTAGTTCTTAGTTCTTGTGGAGCGTTCGTCTGACCTCTTGTGATGAGAGTCAGATGCCTTCTTTGATCCTTGTCGATCTCTATCCTTGCTCTTCTTGTTTGGACTTTGGTGATCCGGGCTTCGGCCTCTAGATTCGTCGTAGGCTCTCTGCATGTCTTCGACGTCGATATACTTATCTGACCTTCGTTGAAACTCCTCTAGGTCGTTGATCGGGTTCTTGTAGATGGATTTGGCGAGTGGAGATTCTCCATCCATACCCGAGAAAATCAAGTGCAAATGAACTGGTTCAGTTCAGTTTCGTACCTTGAGGGCGGCTTCCTTGAAACGGTCAAGGTATTTTGGCAACGATTCGTTCTCCCTTTGCCGGATTCTTCCTAGAGCGTAAGCCAGCATAGGATGTGCTTTACTGGTGGCGAAGTTCAGGCGAAAAGTTTGAGCCAGGTCTTCAAATGAGTCAATTGAATTTCTGGGCAGCCTGGTTATCCATGCCATTTCCTGACCTATTATGGTTGCCGCAAAGATTCTGGCCTTGATAGGTCCAGTTATCCCATTAAAGAGCATCTCTGTCTTAAACGCCTCCAAATAGGCGTCGGGGTCCTGACTTCCGTCGTAAGGAGGTATTTTGGCACTTTTGAACCTCGACGGGATTGCCAAGTTCATGAGCCTTTCGGTGAATGGGCTGTCATTGGCATCTTCGTCATGGAGATAGTTATCTCATTGGTCATTGCCCGACCTCCGACTTCATGTTGGTTCTCACTCATTGTAAGCACCTCGAGCATGTTCAGTTGTCGGGTTTCAACGTTATCTCCCGTTGTTGTTAGCTCGACCTTCAGTTTCAGTCTGGCCTTCCCTTCCAGCTCGGCCTTTTGGTTTCGCAGGTCGGCTTCCAATGCCTCCAACCTTTGAGCATGTAACCTCTGTTGAGCCAGGAACTTGTTCTCCATCTCTTGCATCCTTTGAAGGATTGCATTCAGGGCGGTGTTAGCTATGTGATTGTCAGCCCCAGGTTGTTCATTCCTTGGTGGCTAACGCACTGACTCTGTCGCAGGGTTGCTTCGTGCGGTGATGTGCAATGACTCAGTGCCGACCTCTCCGACCTGCACATCCACCAAAATTGGGTCGACGAGCTCTTGAAGACGCTCTATGGAAAACTGATACGGCGGCTGGATGTTGCACGAGTGTTCGTCATTGTGGAATGGAATTGAAATTTATCGTTCCCCACAAACAGCGCCAATGTTCGGTCCTAGAGAACCGTATAATAATATAGCAAGATATGCGCTAAGAGAAATCATATATTCAGATATCGTAGTTGACTTATAGCCAATATCTCAATCACTGCGCATAAGCAATAGGCTTATAGCCAAGATGTGGGTGTGTGCACAGTGTGGGCAGAAGAAGTAAATGAGTTTAGAATGTGTACTTGGGGGTCTTAAACCTTGTATTTATAGGGGTTACCTCTTGGACTGTGTAGATCTCTCAGTTGGTGTAGGATTCAACTCCTTAGTTTTAGGGATAGGGGTTCCATTCTCTTTGTCTTCATTATTCCACACTGTTAGGATAATTGGGTCATTATCTATTAAGGGATTCTTGGGTAGGTAGTTAGGATATGGATATATTCCGTAACATTAATCATATTGAATGTCTCTTACTTTTATTTGTTTCCTCTAGGGAATCTTCCTATGCAAATCAATTCGATGAAAACATCAACAAGGACAAATCATGATGACTAGTTTGAGTGTTTGAAGCTAATATGTGAAGAAGAGCTCAACGAGCCTAATGATGCCTCTTATGCAGCTCAGAGGACTAGATGACTTGATACAAAGAGTGAAAACACTACAATAGAGTTTGTTTAACGTGCATGAAATATTACATAGAAAAGTCCAAAAGGAAAAACATCATAGATTCTAGTTCTTTGAAAGTCATGCAATTCTTAAAAGTATGATTATGTGATCTAATTCAAGATCATTTGGTTGAATTACAATGGCACATGAGCTCAAATCCAAATACTTGCCCATTTGGTTGAATTAATGAAACTGATTGTATTGAATGAGATACATTAATGGAGCACTAGTTATAGGAGTTAGAAGGTTGTTACCTGTTTTTGTGTTTAGCTAGAAGTTAGGGGTTGTTTGATAGAGGGTTGGTATTTTTGGATTCCTTGAAAAATGGAAAATTTTGACACATTTTTAATAATATTTTACAATCAACCAAACATAACATCAGAAAAATCAATCCAACATTCCCGGAAATATTTTGGCTTATCAAATAGTTTTTTTGTAACATTCTCGAAAAAATCAATTTCTTACTATATTTATGAAAATCGTGATTCCCGTGTAAAAAAATATTTCTCCTCTATCAAATGCTCCAATGATTATGCATTCAATTGGAGGCTAGGTAGTTAGGTTGTTGTATCATTCTTCTATAAAATGCATGAAAGTAAAAAAAAAAAAAAAAACATTTTTCTACTCATTTTAATTCCAAGAGAGTCCTTTTTCTCTTAGTCACCTTATCCCCCACCTTATTAGAATGTATGTCACATTTGATTGTTTTCTTTAGGTGGTGTTTGGTTGGGAGCTTTTCAGCGGATATCTATCTTTCTCAAGTATGGTTTTTAGAAACACCATGTTTGTTTCAACGTTTTTCACCCAAAATCCATCTATCCAATTTGTCTGGATTTATGAGAAACATAAATATCCGCACTGTTTAGAAACCCAATTTGAAGGTGAGATTTTTTGGAAAACCGGTTATCTGGCTTTTAATGCACTGTTGATTTCATAAAGCTACCTAGTTTTCCCAGTAAAGTTTTTCCCACCAAACAACTTTTTTTTTATATTTTTCTACCTATCTTACTTTATCTATCTTTCCAATCATTTCTCTATCTATCTAATTTCCCTACTATTCCAAAAAAATTCCTCAACCAAACACCCCTTAGTGAATATTCCTATTCAACCCAATTCCATTAATACGTTCAGTAGGATAAATCATGATGATTATTAGGTTGAGAAATTTTTTTTGGAATAGTAGGAAAATGAGATAGATAGAGAAATGATTGGAAAGATAGATAAAGTGAGATAGGTAGAAAAATGTAAAAAAAAGTTGTTTGGTTGGGAAAAACTTTATTGGGAAAATTAAGTAACTTTATGAAATCAACAGTGCATTAAAAGCCAGATAACCGGTTTTCCAAAAAATCTCACCTTCAAATTGGGTTTCTAAACAGTGCGGATATCTATGTTTGTCATAAATCCAGACAAATTGGATAGATGGGTTTTTGGTGAAAAGGTGTTTCTAAAAGCCATACTTGAGAAAGATAGATATCCCCTAAAAAACTTCCAACCAAACATCACCTAAAGCTAAATCTTAGTGTCATTATGTTAATATCTCTATATGAAGAAGAGCATACAGAGCCTACCGATACCTATTGTGTTGCTAAGAGGACTAGATATAAAGAGCGGAAACACTCTAATAAAATTTTTTTTTCAATGAAATATTACATGGACAAATTCACAAGACAAAACATTCAACATTATGACTTTTTGAATGTGAGACAATTCTAGAATGCAAGTCCATCCTGCCGCTAAGCTGCAACCACCACCTCTGCGGAGAATCACGAAGCTTTCAAAACTTATTTTCAAAAAAAAAATTCATCAAACAAGTTCTTTTTTATTATTTTTATTCTATAAATAATTTTAAGAAAGAAGTCTATAAAAATGAAAACAGAATCAGTTTGTTGGGCTTTTGCACCCCCTGGTTTTTTTTTTAAAAAAAAAAAAAAAACAGAATCAAACATAGCCCCCAAGATACAACTATCGATTATGAACAAAGACTGGGCCGGCTTAAAGCCTAAAATGATTTTGGGCCTTAATGTTAAGTTCGAATTTGTTCACCTATCTCTTCACAATAATTTTAAAAGAAAAATGTTTGTTATTTTAAATTACAGAAAATTATATTATTTTAAGAGAAATATAGATACAAAAAATTTAAATTTTAAATAAAAAAAATCAATCACTTTCTCTCTCCTATGATTTTCGTTTTTCTGTGTCTATCTCTCTCCTAAAATGACACAACTTATGTCATTTAAAATGACAAACAAGAAACCTTAATTTTAAATTGTAAAACTCAAAAAATATATAAAAATGATTTGGGGTGCTATATAGTCATCCTCTCACCACTCCCAATTTACAACTTAGGGTTTGTTTCGAGAGGCGCTCCTCCTTTTAGCACTTGTGCCGACATAACCAAATTATCATGCCTCTTCCTCTCGAGCCATTAAAATTGGTGCGGGTGTCTTCACCTCTGAGCTATCCCTGTTACGGTCGATTCAGCTTCGGAGGTGTAGATTCCCGCACCCGTTTTGCTGGCTATCTCTACTTTGTTCGTTAAACTGGAGTGCTGACCCTTTACATAGTTTTTTTTTTTTTCTTTTTTGTTTTTAATATAACTAAAACCACTCAAGGCAAGCATAAACTCTTTTACTTATGCATGTATTTTAATTCTTCATCGTTTTGAATGGTTAAGATTTGAACATGACTTAAAGGTCAGATGACCACTTCAAACGATCCTTAACTTCCTCGTGTATTAGCATCTTAGATTCTGGTTCTTTTCTTTTAACTTATTTTATTGTAAATTAACGTTGATTCGTACTCTGCATATGTTATTTTAACCTATGGCTGACAGGAATTGCACGATGCTGGAAATAAGATGTTTTCTTTTTGCTAGGAACAAGGATTTTCAAAGGGGTTCGAGCACAGTAGAAGGGATGGTTAATTTCTTTCTTGCTTTATAACAAGTCTGTCGTGGTAGCTCCCTGACTTGTTATTGGACCAGTGGATGGTGTCAAAATTTGACCCTAAAAGTGATAATTAATGGCAAATAAGCAGTTCCATGACTTCCATCCCTCTGGATCTGGTTGAGTTCTTGATACTAGTGGATAATGTTTCTTATTTATGTACAAAAGATAATGTTTAATACAATTTGGATGTAATGTTTTTTTTTTTTGGAAACGAAATTGAATCATGTGGAGATTTCATATATGGTGCTATCAGCTTTTTCTAAACTTGTAAATATCAGCTATATGGTTGCAAAAACAAAAGTTTGTATTCAAGTAAAAAAAGTAGCATGGATAATATCTGATTTTCAAGGTCTTGTTATAAAACATGAAATTTCATGATGATCTCATAACTTGGGAATCAAATTGGTTTATTGATACCTCACCACACGTAGAGCAAGACAGAGTGGTTTGTACTGCTTTCAAATCCAGCGATTTAGTCATTAAGTTGTATTCTATTGTACCCATAGAGACGTCTCTGGTAAATAATCTCTTCGGCAGTATGTCAAATATCACGTTGTTTGGATGGAAATCATGGTGTTTTTATAATTTTAATTTATGAGTTATAATGTTTTAATCTTTCAATCTCAAAACGATGTTGTTTTAGAAGTAAATGTTAATAACTTATTTGCAGTAAATGTAGAAATATTTTTATCAACATTAAATTTAGTTCTATATATTTTGCTCCTCTACTTGAATGCAAGATACCAAAAGGGAGTTCCAGGACTAGAGTGCCCTTGCGGTGCGAGAAGTATTTGAATTTGTTGCCTAAGTGGTAACAAAAAGTAAATATGTTCGTAATTTTTTTTTTTTTTTTTTTGTCATAAATTGCAATAGGTTTTTAATCTTAATAATCCAACTAGGCTGTGAAATCTCAGGTAAGAGAGAACTGGGTTTGTTAACCTTTGTTCTTAAAATTTAGTCTAAAAATGTAAAAACGGTATAAATGCCTTGTAAAAATGTGTTAAAACACAAGTAGAAACTGGTCCTTACTACAAATAAGTAAAAATGTCATGTAGGAATCTATAAACAATAGAAATACAAGTTTTTATATTTTTTTACTTAAACTTATTTTTAAAAAAAAAAAAACCTATTTTCTAATTTTTAAATTCAATTTTCTTTATTAATGTTTCTGGACTTATATCTTATATAGTTATGTGACTTATATTTTTTAAATATGAAGTTATTTATTAAATTTTGAATAGTGACTTATGTGATTTTATATATATATATATATATATATATATATATTGATTTTAAGTAATAAAATTTTTATATTTCGTCTCATTTGTATGATTTACGTTTTTACACAAAAACTCGATTTTTATTACATTACTTTTGACAATGATGCCATTGAGCTATCTTGTAGGCACCTTTATCACTTATTAGTGATTTTGGATTTGCATTCAGATTCAATATTTTCAAGGTTGAGAAGTGATGTAACAATCTGGAGGCATTTATTTATCTGTGTGTCATGGTTATCTGGGTGTTTGATAGACGGTTTATTTTCAGATTTTTAAGAAAGTGAGAGTAGTAATTCAATTTATCCATGTTTGATAGAAAATCTCTCAAAAAATTATGAGAATATTATTTTTCTGAAATTTTATTTTATGTGTAAAATGTAAATCAAAATGCCATCTAAAAATATCATCTAGAGCGTAGAGGGTAGTATTTTCACTTTTTCGAAAAAATGAAAAGTTAGATGTGATAATTCTTATAAAAATTTCGATAATATTTTAGCCTATTAAACATGGGAAATCAACTTGTCCTGTTACTGGAAAGCTATTGTTCTTTCCTGCAGAGACATTGAAAACTGGAATCATGATTTTATTTTATTTTATTTCATTTTTTAGTGAGTCCCACTATAATCTTCTATCTACATGAAATTTAATTATTTTCCTGTAACATGATAAGTTAATTACGCATTAAACATTTTCGAGAAATTCACTTTTTCACTATAATTTCGAGAATCATGATTTTTGGGTAAAAAAATTTTCTCTCCACCAAACACTTCTTTAAGGTAATTCTATAGGAAGATAGATTTATCAAGGGATTGAGTTTTAGTCAACAATAAATAAAAAGCCATTTTATTTTTTAAAAAATAAATATTTCCATCAATTAGAGTTCAACGTCTTGAAATTTCTACCTCTCCCGGTGATTACTTTTGTTGCCGTGTCTAGGGATAAATGGCAAATTTAATGGTATCACTGTGGATATAGGAGCAAACCATGTAAAAATAGAAGTATAACATAAAAAAAGTATAGCAAGCTTCGAGATTTCGTCTCATTGAGCTCAGCTGCTTTACAATTTTCTTTTAGGTGGTGTTTGGTTGAAGCTTTTTTGTGAGGATACCTAGGCATATGAGATTGGGTTTTTGTGTTGTTCATGTTTGGTAAAAAAAATTAGAAAATTTTCCTAGCTAACTTGGTTCCCCAGCATTTCATAATTGTGTGGAAAAATGGATGAAAAACACTGTTCAACATACCCACTTCTAACATGGTATTTGACAATAGAAGGCAAAATGCAAAATAGAGGATGAACGATGAGACAAAAATACCCTCTCTTCAATTGGAAGAATTAGAAGCTATTCCTACTAGTTCTTGTTTTCCCTGGCATAGGGGACTGTCATTACTCTCCTTTACCACTTTTGTCATTTTATAGTTATATAAGCTATTGATATTTTACACTTCTTTGCTGCTCTGTCAATTTTCAAAATTTAAAAAGGGTTACTTTTGTCATTTTATTCTACTTTCCCATCAATATTTTTACACTCAACCAAACATAGACTTACAAAACTTTAATCAATTTACCCAGTAATATTTCGTCTAACCAAACAACTCTTTTTACATTTTCCTACCAAACTCACTTTCCAACCATTTCCCTAGTAATTACATATTTCTCCTCAACTAAACACCTAGTTCCCTCTCTTTGTCATTGATTTAGATACCATAAGTCTTCGTTACAATGATGCTTTAAGTGTGTGTTATTAGTTCATGTTGTCACAATCAATTATATGAAAGTACATACTAGACTTCATGTCATGGTAGTCTCAACCTTAGTTCACCTTAGTTCATTGCATATCGGAATTATCAGAAAATTACTGTCCCTAAGTTGTCTTTCTTCTGTTCTCGACCTTCTGCTGTTCCTAATTCTGATATCTTCTTGCTGGCCTATTGGGCGTCTCCAATTTAAAATTCAAATTATACATCTGTCATGGATGTTGAGAAAGAATTTATAATATTAAAGAAAAGTGCAGCAAGGTTGAGAACTCCAACAACCAATTGTACTACACGATAACTGGAATCTTGTTTAGGTTTCATGGGTGCATTTCGGCTTTGGCAAATGGTGCACCAAAACTGATAAATCCGCATGTTGAATCTTTCTATCAGTTCAATGGAAATGTGGCATTTGTGCTTTGGCAATTTTTCCCTGCTAAATTGCATTAGATTTATGTCAACTACTATTTCGCAATGCTGGACAGATGGAGCAGTTCTGGATCATGCAGGAAATTACACTAGAATATGTTGCCACTGTTAGAAATATTAAGAATCAATCATAATATTAAAAGGATTTTATTATAATTATAATATTAAGATTCTTGATATTACCCATTAAACGTTATATGACCCAATTAATTACTGATACACTTAATCTCAATCATTTATTTGATTTGGTATATGATGGACTTACCAGATTATGAGTTATGGAATATATATATATATATATATATATATATATATATATATATATATATATATTAGGAATGGTCTTCTCTCCCCTTCAACCTTAATGTCATTCTCTCCATCAAAATACATATCAAGTAAAGAAGGCTTAGAGAGAGAAACTACCCCAACACAATTGTTCACAAGATGTCTGCGGTTAATCCCCCATCATCTTTTCCGGGTATGTCTTTATCTCTTATGTATATGTGAAAATCATGTATTCCCAAGATGTTTTATTATGTTCTTATTTTATAATTTATGAACATGATACATTATGCAAACTAACATGTGGTATCAGAGAAAGGTTTAGGAATTCATGTTTTTCCATGTATGATTATGATCAGATTCTTGCTTTTTTTGAAAGGTTAGGGTTTCTAAAATTTATATTTTTCCCTAATGATTTTTAATATGATTCCATGATTTCATGTTTCTGAATACACGTCATATTTTTACAATGCACATGGACCTATGGACACTGATAAATGATAATTTTTAAATGTGGATTGTATTAAGGGAAAGCAAACCAAACATAATAAGAAAGATGCCACAAGAAGCACCCACCTTCTAGAGATTATACACACTGATATTTGTGGACCTATGGACACTTCAGCTTTTAATGGAGAAAAATATTTCATTACCTATATTGATAATTTTTCACGTTATGGTCACATCTATTTGCTTCATGAAAAATCTCAATCTTTAAATGTCCTAGAGACATTCATTAAGGAGGTTGAGAGACAGTTAGATAAAAATGTGAAAATCGTAAGGTCAGATAGAGGTGGTGAATATTATGATAAATATAATGAGTCAGGACAATGTCCAAGTTCATTTGCAAAATTCCTCGAAGAGCATGGCATATGTGCACAGTATACTATGCCAGGCACACCACAACAAAATGGTGTGGCAGAAAGGCATAACCGGACATTAATGGATATGGCCAGGAGCATGATAAGTAACTCCTCATTACCCAAAAATTTGTGGACTTATGCGCTTAAAAATGCGACCTACTTGCTGAATAGGATTCCTAGTAAGGCAGTTCAAAAGACTCCTTTTGAATTGTGGACAGGAAGGAAACCTAGCTTAAGGAACTTGCATGTTTGGGGTTGCCCAATTGAAGTAAGGTTTCATAATCCACATGAACGAAAGTTAGACTCTCGAACGATTAGTGGATACTTTATTGGTTATCCTGAGAAGTCCAAAGGGTATGTATTTTATTGTCCGAACCATAGTCCGAGAATTATGAAAACTGGTAATGCAAGATTCATTGAGAATGACGAAGTTAGTGGGAGTTCTAAAAGGGAAATTGTGAAAATAAAGGAGACTGGGGTAAATGTTTAATTACCTATAATTGTTACTCCATCTACGAAATTTCCTAATATTGTTCCAGTTGTTGTAGAACAAGATAACAATACTGAACAACATTTGAATGAAGAAGTACTCCCAGCAGATGCTAACTTGCAGAATGCTAATGCACAAAAACC